ATTCTTGACTCCAAAGGAAGCAAAAGCCAAATGGAGCCAAACATATATCCTGGATTTTAGGAAAGCCAATTTTAATAAATGCAGAGCGATGATAAGCAAAATCCCATGGGAAGTGACTCTAATGAGAAAAGAAATCCAAGGTGGTTGGGAATTAAAAAAAAAAAAAGGAAATTGTAAAGACACAACAACAAACAATTCCAACAAGATAAAGGTGGAAGGAAGGCCAGACTGCAAAGCAAGAATGGAGGCAGGTAGCACAGAATTGAAGGGATGGCATCAGGAAAGCTAAAGCTAGGGATGAACTGAGGCTAGTGATGCTAAAAGCAACAAAAAAGCATTCTTCAAATATGTCCAGTGTAAAAGACACAGGAAAGATATGGGGCTCAACAACTCAATGTGGATGGCAAAATGATAACAAATGTCAAAGAAAAGACAGAAGTGCTCAGTTCCTACTTTGGCTCAATCTTCTCCCAAAGGAAGATCTGTGACCTTCCTGATGAAAGGGAAGCACAGACTTGAAGCAGCACAATGGCAGCTCAAGATTGATACGCAAATGGTCAGGGATTATCTAATTGGGTTGAACAAGTTCACATCTCCACAGCCTGATGAACTCCATCTTAGAGTCATAAAGGAGCTGGCATAAGAACCTTCAGAACCACTATCAATTAACTTTGAGAAGCCATGGAGGACAGGGGCAGTGCCAGATGACTGGAGAAGAAGGGCTAATGTCCCTATCTTCAAGAAAAGAAGAAGAAAATGACGAAGAACCACCACCACCTGGGAACTACAGATCCGTCAGTCTGACATCCGTCCCTGGGAAACTTCTAGAGCAGATTCTAAAGCAATCAGTCTGCAAACACCTTGAAAACCATGCAGTAATTACTGGAAGCCAACATGTGTTTGTCCAGAACAAATCCTGCTGGACTAATCTGATCTCATTTTGTGATTGGATAACTTCCTGGATGGACGGTGGGAATGCTGTTGAGCTAATGTATCTTGACTTCAGCAAAGCTTTGGACAAGCTGCCCCATGATATCCTGATTAGTAAAGTAGTTAAAAGTGGGCTAGATGGAACAACAGTCAGGTGGATCCACAGTTGGGTACAGAATTGGACCTGAAGAGTTCTCATCAATGGCACCTTCTCAAACAGGGAAGAGGTTAACAAGTAGAATACTGTGAACTTCAGTCCTGCACTCAGTACTCGTCAACATTTTCATTAATTATTCAGATGAGGAAGGACAGGAATGTTTATCAGAGCTGCAGATGACAAAACTGGGTGGGATAACTAATATGCTAGAAGACAGAAAGAAGATTCAAGGTGATCTTGATAGGTTGGAACGCTGGGCTGAAAACAACAAAATGAAATTCAGTGCAGAGAAATGCCAAGTTCTCACCTAGAAAAAATAAACCAAATGCATTATTACAAGATGGAGAATACTATACTGCATATACTACTATACTGCTCAACTATACTGCAAATGAGAAGGATCTTAGAATTGTAGTTCAAAAGTTGAATATGAGTCAACAATGTGGTATCTTTGCAAAAAGAGCAAATACTATTTCAGGCTGCCTTAATAACAGTATCACTTCCAAATCCAGTGAAGTACTAGTTTGCCTTTACTCAGCACTGGTTAGGCCTCATCTGAAGTATGAATCTGGGCACCACAGTTTAAGAAAGATGCAAAGAAGCTGGAAAGGATCAGAGGAGGGCAACAAGGCTGACCCAGGGACTGGAAACAAAGCTCTGTGAGGAGCAATTAAAAGAACTGGGCATGCTTAGCCATGAGAAGAGAAGACTGAAAGGAGAAAGGATACTTTGGCCCAAATCTTCTGATAACTTCTCCCAGTGCTTTCGTGTAGATGTTTAACAGCATAGAGGATAATATGGAACCCCATGGAACTTGTGCAGAGCCATATTCCCCCAGTACCACTTTCTGGAATCAGCCTGTCAGGTAGTACTAGAACCACCACAGAGCAGTGTGTCCCAACTTCCAAATGAGATAGCCCATCCAGAAGGATACCATATGGTTAATGGTATTGAAAGCTGCTGAGAAGTCCAGGAGAACTAGCAGGGATGCACTCTTCTGTCCTTCTTCCGCCATGGTCATCACACAGGGTGACCAGAGCCATTTCAGTACCAAAACTAGATCAAAAGCCAGACAGAAATGGATCAAGATAGTCAGTTTCCTCCAAGAGTTCCTGGAACTGCTGAGTCACCATGTACACACCTGTAGTTATTAATATTCTTTGGGTCCAGGGTAGTTGTCTTCAGGGTCACTAGCTCCTTTAAAGGAACTGGGACCAACCCCTCCTTCAGACATGTGTTCATAATCTCCTGAATCCAGCCACACACCCTCCTTGGCTTGGGTGACTACCCATGAAGGACAAACAAGTGGTTGGTCAAGCAGTTCTGAGCATCTTGTCCACATCCTCAGTTCTCAACAACTGAAACTCGTCCAATACAATAGAACCATACAGTGTAGTGGAGGCCTCTGTTCTAGGAACTACATCAAATGTGGAATCCAATCCATGCCAAATCTGAGTGATTTTATCCTGAAAAAATAGCCTTTCTCACTGTTGTCACAATGAGAAAGGCCAGGATCTCTTCTCAATACAGAGTACAGGAAACAGAATATTGGGCTCACATTACAGGAATCCAGATTCCAGCTTGATATCAGAAAAAGTGTTTGAACTGTTAGAGCAGTATGCCAATGGGACCAATTACCTAGGAAGATTGTGGGCTCTACCACACTAGGGGCATTCAAGAAGCAGCTGGACAGCCATCTGAGAGGGTTGCTTTAACATGCAGTCCTGCACTGAGCAAGGGTTGATCCCGTTGGCTCTCTGACCCTTCCAACTGTATTAGTCTATGATTCTATGAATATCTCTTACAAGGTTCTTGTGAGGATAAAATGAAGAGCAGGGCTTGGGCTTCCTGGAGGCAAATGTGGGATGTAAGTGCATCAAAGAAATACTGTAGAATTTCAGTGTCTGATTTCCCCACTGTCAAAACCATTTGGAGTGGAACTTGCTGGTTGTGCTTAAAAGAATTACCAAAGCACTCTTTTTGCTCACTGCCTCTTGCAGAATGCTTCAGAGTAGACATTGTTGTTTAGGCAGTTTTGAAAGCCAATCTAATAGGGCAGAAGAGGAAATGGAGATAATGTTTTACCGTATCATGGTAACCCAAGGGTTTACATAATGTGTGGTAGTCATACTCTTTCATGGGAATAAACATAGTAACTACAAGCTTTGGTGTCCTGGCATACATACAAATGGTGTGGTTAATTTTCCTCAGAGCTGAAAAACTTTGCACATACTTTTGAGTTTAGATAAATTATACTAAGCTGTGATACATCCAGCTACTTAAGGTCAAGTCTGGTATGAGATGAATGGTTTGAAGTGATCTAAAAGCCCAGAAATAAGTCCTGCTAGTGATATTATAAAATCTTAGATTGAGATCTTTTAGCATACAGTGCCTGCAAGGCGAACAAGTCTTGACTGACTCCTCTTGTCCCCAGCACATACAATAATACATGTTTCTTAGGACTTAACACTATGTATCTTTAGACAGAAAAATGGCCTACAACTCTCAGCATCTTCTAGCCTACATGGTACTTGCAGGTCTTTTTTTTTTTTTTTTTGTCTAAATGCATAGAACTGAGCTCTGATTCTCTTACTTCAAGGGGTTGGCCATCTTTAAAAAGTGTTGCACTGGTTGTTTGAACTAAGATTAAGTTATCTTAATCCATTGATTTAATTCAGAATCTTAGGTGATCTAGCTTTCTGCTTGCCAAACTGAGCTCCATCACTACATACAGAACAGAATGCAACAGAAGTTCGACAGAACTGAAAAAGAAAAAGATCTTGGAGTAATTGTGGACAATAGGCTAAACATGAGCCAACAATGTGATGCAACTGCCAAAAGAGCAAATGCTATTTTGGGATGCATTAACAGAAGTATTACTTCCAAATCATGAGAAGTAGTAGTTCCTCTATACTCCTCACTAGTCAGACCTCATCTGGAATACTGTGTCCAGTTCTGGGCACCAAGTTTTAAGATGCAGAAAAATTAAGGGGTCTAGAGGAGGGCAACAAAAATGATCCAGGGTTTAGAAACGCTGCCCTATGAGGAGAGACTGAGAGAACTGGGCATGTTCAGTCTTGAGAAGAGAAGACTGAGCGGGGACATAAATATCCCTCTATAAGTACCTCAAAGGTTGTCAAAAAAAGGAAGGTCAAGATCTCTTCTTGCTGATGCCAGAGTGTAGAACATGGAATAATCAATTCAAGTTGCGACAACCCAGATTCAGGTTGGACATCAGGAAAAGCTTCCTCACTGTCAGAGCAATACGACAGTGGAACCAGCTGCCTAGAGAGGTGGCGGGCTCTCCCACACTAGAGACCTTCAGAACGAAACTGGACAGCCATCTGAGTGGGATGGTGTAAATTGGTGTCCTGCAACAACAGGGGTTGGACCCGATGGCTTTCATTCCCCCTTCCAACTCTACTATTCTATGATTCTATAATATACCCTTCTTTCCCCAACTGTCATCTAATCATATTTTATCTTATCTATTCTTTCCTTAGCTAAACTTTCAATTTGATCAGATGCCTGTGTTCAGTCTGCTGCTACTGCATCATTGTGAAATGTTTCAGGAGAGAATTTTCTATAGTGACCTAATAACTTGAAAAACAATAGATTTGTTGGTCTAAAAGGCTTTAGCTCATGCTGGATTTTAACCAGTGCTTTACTTGCTAATGAGCTATTTAATCAAGAATAGATTTGTGCTCTAATATATGTAGATATTAGGTATCGAAGACGTAACAGATGTCCTTCAGCAGACTGAACCCTGCCCTGATTAACCACGTACATTCTAGACAGTTTATGTAATGTTGGACTAATTTAAAGTTTTCTAACATTTGGACTTCACATGACTTTGTAAATTAACTCATATATAATGGCATGTTTTAATCCAAATATTTGCTGTTCTCTATAGACAGAAATTGCCAAGAGATTGAATACAATCTGTGCACAAGTCATCCCATTTTTGTCTCAAGAAGTAAGTACAAATGTTCAGCTGTTTAAAGTGAAATTATGTTGCATCTTTGTTTGTAAATTAGCTAGTTTTTAAGATGTTAATTTTATTAAAATTCACAAGAGTGAGGAACATCTGTTGTAGCTCAAGTATGCAAGCCCCCTGTTAATTTGGTCTAGCAGATGAGATGAGACACACCAACTGCATAACTGGTGAAATAGCTCAACCACAAAATTATTCTTTCCAGCACAGGGGGAGGTAGACTATGAAGGTTTTTTTTTATTGCCAGTATTAGCCTGGCAGCTGGTTGTCTAACCATTTGTTAAATTCTGTGTATGTAAATAAAAAAGGCTGGCATTTGGTGCTAGCACCTTAAACTTTTTAAAGTCGTATTTGTAAAACATGTTTCCTTTAAAAAGGTGCCAGATATAACTTTTAAAAATTAGAAATACCATATTGATGCAGAACTATGGTGGCGGATGCAAGAGAGCAAACCAAGTTACAGTGAAGCTTGCTGAATTATTTCTGGAAAAGCATTTGCTACCAGGTAAATAGCTACCTGTAGGACGCTGCCATATAACTTGGCAAAAATCAGTTCCAATAGCTGATAGGATCAGTGTATTTTTGACTTACACTGCTCTGCTTAAGCAATATCCTTGGTAAGCTCTGGATGCCAACATAATGCTCCTGTTACATGATATTCAGCCCAGTCATTTAACATTGCTCCTTAACACTTATTTTGCTAGAGCACCTTGTAGAATCAGACTGTATTGTTGAATATTCCTGAAACAACATGATTATTAAGTATGTGACTTCAGTTGATACATCCTGGAGAGTTCACCCCAAGTGGTTGCGAGAGTAATTCTTTGTGTGTTGGATCATTATTATTTATTTTTAGAGTGAACACAAGGGATACGTCTTAGTTTGGAAGCTTTTGGGTTCAGTTGTGGAACAGTTCTAATTTAAAAAAAAGTCTGAATTCTAAAAACTTGAGGACTTAGTGCTGTTGAAAGACAAATCACATCCAGCTCATTTTCCACACTCAGTGCTGCCTGGCAGATTCCCGCCCCACGATAAACAACTTTCTGTCAGTTTTAGGTCCTTTTAGGTCAAACATGTGATCCTATGCATGTTTAGACAGTCAAAAGCCCTACAGCTCTCAGAATTCCAGCCACACATACTAGGGAATGCTCAGAGCTGTTGGACTTTTGTCTGTCTAAACACACATAGGATTGCACCCTTAGTGGTTCTTCCAGTAATGTAAATGATGTGTTTGTCTTTCCAGCATCAACAACAAGTGGCTCAAGCAGTAGAACGTGCCAAACAAGTGACCATGGCTGAACTGAATGCCATCATCGGGGTACGTGGCCTTCCAGGTCTACCTCCTACAGTGTGTATAACCAGCTTTCCTTTCTTATTGCTTCGGTAGTTCTGATGTGTTGATGTTTGATATGTAACAACTGCTTTGATACTTAATGCTAGTTCTTAAGTATTATTTACCTTGGCACCTGCACATTTCTACAATTGGTCAAGTTACTGAAAGCATAGTTTCTAAGATTCTATTCCTTACTTAGGGTATCAGTCATATAGTATCATTATTTTTAGAATTGTGGTATTGCTCTGTTTGTGGAGATTGGGACTTAGTAGTTTGCAAAAGCAAAGGTTACCAAAACTGAAATACAATCCCTGGGATTAACAGACTATATTTGTGGCACTCGAGTCTTTCAATAATCCCTCCCTCCCTCTCTCTCACTCTCCCCCTCCCTTTTCCTTTTTCTTTTCCTTCTTTTTGGGTACACCTCAGCTTCTGAGCTAGGAGGAATGGATGTTATGTTGGAAGCCTTTGCTTCTGCTAAACCCTAGTTTGTCACTTTAGTCAGACAAACTGGGCCTAACATTAATTTTGATTAGTTTCAGATCATACTTTACTCAAGTTGGCTTGTTTAAACTAACCATAAGGGAAGTTGATCATAGTTCTGGGGCCAGGCTACCAGGCTGCACTTAAAAGTTGAAGAAAATGCTTCTAAGCACCTCCTGACCACACAGGAGGAAGAGAGGAAAGGGGGAGTATATATACCCAAAGCTCATTGTGGCTCATTCCCAGCATGCTAATCTGTGGTTTAGTATGATGTGCAAACAGTGCCATAGTGTGTGCTTGGGAGCAATTGTCAATCGCAAGTAACTAACTTGTCTTGCATTATTGAACTTCATGAGTCAGACATTCCATATGCTGCCTAAAGTCATTTCCCAAATCTTGTTACCATGGTGGAGAAATATCACTCATGTTTCTTGCCCTTCCATAATAAGTAAAAGGAGCTGAAACAAGAAGTAGTACTTCTCCTTCTGATTTTATTCATATGCAAGTGCCTTGAGCAGATTCAAATTATTCATTTATCAATTTATGTTAATTGCTTGTGAGAAGATGCCCTGCTGGTCTTTATAGTTCCCTCAGACACTTTGTAATGATAATTAGACATGCTGCTGTATGGATTAACAGTGCCATAGTCCAACGATGTCTACAGACAATGGGACCAGTTAATCCATCTGTGCTTAAAATTACATCCCAACTGGAGATGGAAAAAAAAACATAAGAGCGAGGGAGGATTAAAAGAATGAGCCACAGCTTGAAAACTCTCCTTTTATCAGTTTCTCAATTGTAGATCTGCTGTCGCTTTGCCTGTGGTAAGCTATTGGCAGTCAATTAGGTGAAATAAACTGGGAGGGTGACCTTCATTTCCTTTTAATAGCTATTCCTCTCTGCAATGGGGAATGTCAGTGGATTTTCAGCTTAAATTTCATTCAAGCTGCTTTACTACACTTGACAGATTAGCTTTGCATAAACATACCCCCTCTCAACCAGAACCTCATTTCTTCCCCTTCTTGCATCCAATCAGTTACTTAAAAATATAATAATTAAATTTCTGTATGTCTGCTGTCGTCGTGACCCTTGCTTGTCTAATAAATTTTTATCTTGAAAGTTCAGTGCACAAGTTCACCTGGTCTGTTTTTGTGTCTGTAATTGATTTAACCAACACTTCTGGTTAACAACTATATTTTAAAAATAACTCCGATGCAGTTATTGAGCCTGTTAGCAGACCTTGAACTGGAAATAGCTTTTAAAAATTAATTGAAAACTTCGACACTGGACCATGAAGATTTGTGGAATGTCTGGCTGGGCTTATAGTTCCTACAAAGTGCCCTTTATTTCTTGGGAATGTACAGCTCTGACCCAAGAAAACAATGCCCAGGCCCATTCTTTGACAGTCTCCTTTCAATTGAATGCAAGTTGCACACTATGTGATGGTCCTGCTTTTTTTCTTCCCCTTAAAAGCCATTTTGTAAAGGTTCAAACTACTGCTCATTAGCATAATGTGGTAAATTTATTATAATCTAATATAGAAACATTTTCACTTAAAAAAGAAACTTCCAGCGGATGCAAGCTTAGCCTCAGGCAGTGCAATTCTACCTGTTTGTTGAGAAGAATGTTCCACTGGATTTAGTGTGCTTTACTCCATAGTAAGTGAGCATAGGACTCCAGCCTCATGATACTTGCGGCACTGACATGTTTTTGCAAGCAGACATATCCTTCAGCTCTCAGTGAGTGCTGTAAACGCTATGCGCATTCCTATCTACCCCAGACTAGCAAAGTCTAGACCTCTTCCCAAGCTGAGCTTCTTGCACAGCTGATCTGACAATTCTATTATTGCCTGGAGAACAACTGTTGTGTGTACTGCAAACCTCACTACTTCTCCTTTTCTGTGTTTACATTTCTCCCAAGTTGGCCCAATAAGAGACCATCTCTCCCTTTGCACATTTGTATACATCAATAATTATCCTATGCTGCACAGTAAGTTTCCCACTCTGACATATGCTTGATTTGTTTGAAAGGGATTGTGTGCACTCTGGAAAATTGGAGTAGCATAAAATTGGGCTGACAATTCAGTGGACCTTTCCTCCTCTTCATTGAACATGCACTGTGTCAGCCTGTCTCCCCAGAGGGGAAGGGCATCAGGAGCCTGTCTGTTCCTACAAGCAGCAGCTGCACTGAAAGTAAACACAGCTCAGTTTGATAGCAGCTGTCAGTATTGTTCAGAGACCCAACTTAGTGTAAAGAACAATGGTAGGGCCATGCTCTCAAACTGCAGTGCCTTGCAAACTAATAAAAGATATAGTAATACTGCCCTGCTTTTCTGTGTTTCCACCTAGTGCTAGATTTTTCCTTGGAGTGGAGAGCACCTAGATTATGTTAAGTGGATTATCTTGGTAGAATTTGAAGGGATTGAAGGAGGACGAAGATTCTAAAGCAACAGGCTGGAAAATTAAGAGTTGTGCATGCTGGGAAATTTATATGACAGTTGTAATTAGACCACACCAGAAGTAAATAAAATCACCTCATAAAATGGGAGCAGATTGACAGATTTTTTTTTAAAAAAATCCTTGATGGATCTATCTGAAAGGGTAACATTCAGCATTCACAAGAAATAGGCAGCCCACGAGGGTATTTTAGTGTAGCTTTCTCAGAAAGAATTTAGTACTCAAGAGGTGTCAAGTTCCCCCCTCCCCATTCGGAGGTGTGCCGCTAATGGTTCTGTGAAATGTATCTCTTGGATTGACAGTACTTGTGAGACAGATTGAGTTGTCGGCCTCCAAAGGGCTTTCCATCATTGCATGAGATGATTGACTAAAGGATTAGCAAGATGCTGGATTATTTTTCCTCTTCTTGGCTGTGGTTGCCAGCTATCTCTGAGATTGTAGTGTGTGAAGCTTAAGAGGATGAGGTTAACCTCTTGAGGGTTTATTATGAGTATGTAGTTAATCTTTAGAAAGCCTATAAATAACTAGGATGCATGTTTTGTTGCAAAATAGAAATATGGGCTCAAAGAAGTGAATGCAAAAATGTAATGCTATAACTGCTAAGTTCTTGTCTCATGTCTTTTGGAAATATCAGCCATACTCTGTATTTAGTGTCAAACGATGCTGTAGGGATTTTTTTTTTTTTAAGATGGAGGTCATGGGTTGGTAAAATAACATCAGGTGCTTGTTACAGATATATGGAGCACAATGCTTAATGCTTAAGGTATATTAGTTATTGGTCATATTAAAATATATAGTAATTAAATAAGTATAGTGAGTCTTCTGTTGGCTAACATTTGGGACAAGATACTAATATATATCAAATTTCTGAAGTATGTAAAATTCCTGATATTATTCTGGTATGTAAATACATACCTTCCTCCTTCCTTAAATACAGTCTGAAGCTACATTTTGGTGTCACAAATAAAGCTCAGTTTAGCTGCCTGATAATGGGCAATGTTAATACAGGAATAGCCAGCCAGTCAGATTTTTTTTGGGGGGCAGGTTTCAGACCAAAACACAGAAATAAATGAAATTGATGCAGGCAGCTAAAAAGCCTGACAAACATCCACTCCAGTGTTTCCCTTCAACCTTTATTCCCTGGATTTCCTAATTTGCTTGTAAATCAGTGGCACTGTGTTTTTATTCTCCGTTCCAACACTTAGCCCAGAAAGGAAAGTTCACATGTATTACTTACTGTAAAAGTTGTAAATCTGGCTTGCTAAATGTCACACACTGTATATACAAAGTACAGGTCTCATCTGCAGTTTTCCTGTTTTCCCCCATCCTTTTCCCACAGAAGTGAACTTTAGGAAAATCCTTTGAATATTAAGCCCTGGCCTACGTGAGAAAGCATTCCAAAGCAATGAAGAGCAAACATTAAATTACATCCGTTATGGTTATTTAACTTTGTTACCATTTCTTGATTCCAGCCAAAGGAACTGACCCACTTCAAGCTACGTCTGCTGTCTGTCAGTGGACACAGTCACAGAGATAGATGCATTAAGAGTACACTGTATGTGCTCCCTGTCTTGCTTTTCTAAGGATAGGCTTTGAAGCATGTTGATGCATTTCTCATTTATCCTGGTTAAAACTCTGGATTTCATTAATACTGTTGGGAGCTGGTGAACTCTTATGTGTTGTCAGTGTCAGCTAACTAAATTAAACTTGCACATTCGGTGGTGAGGGATGTATTAGTCACAGATTGCCTAGCTTGTTTGAATTGCTTTAGCTTCTTCTATAGGCCTGGATGCTGTGGTCAGTTCAGGACTACAGGAAGTTGGCCAATGCTTGGAAAAGCACCTCATGCATTGCTTGTAGCAACAGCCTTCATGGTAGAAGGGATGATGTGGAAGAAGTCCATGCCACTTCTTGGCTGACCCATTCATCAGACATCCCCTCCCCCAAGACTCACCTCAGCTGGTCTGTAGATGTACATAAAGTAAGACTCTGATCTGAATAAAGAAAACATATGACTCTTGGCTGGTTGATTACATTTGCATATGGCAAAAATGTGGTAAAGAAACAAAGCTCTGATGCATGAAGCGGATTATAGAGATGGGCAGGTGTATCTTAAGACTGTGCTTGCCATCCTCTGCAGGATTTTTTAAAAAATGCCTGCTTAAGACCAGTTCTTATTGATTTAAATCTTTCTGTTGATCGATCCGATTAGTTGCATTAAATGTTATAGCTCCAGTGTAAAGGTAATTTAAACAAGCATTGCAAATAAGTAATGCAAGGAAATTGTGTGTTGTGCGGTGTGTGCCATACCTTGTCACAATTGCAGTCTATGTCCTCACTTTCACAGACAGGCCTGGTTCAAGGAACTCAGGGAAGCTTACATAATCCTCTTCCTCCATTCCATTTTATTTTCAGAAAAATTCTGTGAAGTAGGTTAGGCTGAGAATCCGTGACTGGCTCAAAGTTACTCAGTGAGCTTTATGGGCGAGTGAGTACCTGACCCCTAATCTCCCAAGTCCTACTCTAGCACTCCAACCACTAGGCCACAGTGATTTACATGAGCCAATCATAATAATAGTTAAAATAGTTGGAAAATAATATAGCCAAAGCTGAAGAATCTGTGCAAATGAGGGAGAAAGTTCACAAGCTTTTGCATTCATGGGCATGCCAGTGTGGTCTTGCACTAGATGCACAGGACGTCTCATTCATCTTTTCAGCAGGGAGGAAAAGCATGGAAGCATCTTTGTTGCTGCTTGTGATTTTCATTCTTATGCAAATAGTCATATTTAATGTTTTTGCTTACAAGCGTCTCTGAAATTGGCCTGAACAGAGGAAGTCTCAAAGACTGGATGATCATATCATAGTTTGCTATGAAATTTCTGGCCATGTATGCGGCCCTTGCCTCCCAGCAAGCATACCCCAGAGTCTTTCAATTAAGTCTAACAGTTTAAAACAAGCCAGGATATGATGCCAGCTTCAGACTGTGGCCCAATATGCTGCCTTACTTTGAAGCTGTTAAACATAGTTAGTTGATTCAGATGAAATGGGAAACTGTAACTGGAAGACTTCTGGGATTGTCTGCTTCTTTCATGTCTGGCAGAAAGTCTTATTCATATCTCAGCTTATTAAGCCAAGATATGAGCATCTAAAGATGTCCCCTGTGCCAATAACATCCCTCCCCATGTCTGTCCTAATCCTTGCATAATAAAGCACATTTCAAATGCACAGGTGAATTTTTATTTTTCTGAGTATTTTAAACGTGGTTAGGTTTTTCACAGGCACAAAGCTCGAAGCATAAACATTCTAATTTTGTGGAAGTCACAGTTTGTTTTAAAAAAAGGGCAAGGTGGACAATTGGTCGCTATTTCTACAAAGAAATATCCCAACATACAGAAAAGTTTTACTACTAATACTGTCTCCTTGAACACTTAAGAACAAAGTCAAAATTCTTTTGATGGTAAAGTACATTTTTTTTTGCTCGGTGAAGGAAATAATAGTTTTAATAATTTATTTCATTCTCTTGGTCTGAATCAAATCTCTTTAAAGGTATAGCTAGGCTGAAATCATGAATTTCTGTGCCTCCCAACAGGGCGGTTCACAAAGACTAGAAAGCATTCGAATCACTTCTGGCCAATGAAAATTACAGATGATGTGCAATCCAGATATGGGGAGTACGCCGAGGATAAAGAGTTAGAGTCAAACCCAACCTTTGCCCTCATGATAAGCGTAATCTGGATTGGGGCCCCTACATTTACTTGAGAATTTAAAAAAACTGCTAACTACATATTCAAAGTAACTTGTGCTTTGGTCCTCTGTAGGATTTTAAATGGAGTAGATCTCAGAGGTAGTGTTTTGACGGTACCTGAAATGAATCTGTGTGTTCTGTCAGGCAAACATTTACAAGGAGGTTGATGGAAAAGGAGCAATAAGTTTATTATGAAGGAGCATTATAAATCTTAGTGCTAAAATCCACATGGAAAGTAAAGTTTATGGGAAATATTCCTAGTGGAACTTGAAGAAGACCCTTATTTTAGATTGGTCCTTCTCCATCGTTATGTTTATCTTTACTCAAAGCAGTTGTGAAAATAAGCATTTTGGGGTGGGGAGATGTGTTCCAACGTTATTTCTGTCTGCACTAATTCTGTTAATATAGAGGTGGATTTGGACTGGTGCCAGATGTCTTTAAGAGTCTAGACTGCACAAATCTCCTGTTAGTCGGGCCGTAGATTAAATTACATGGCTTAGCTCTGTAATACAAAAGAGGATCAATATCCGAGGAAATATTCCAGCAGTTGTGAAACCTAGTATGGGTGATTAGCAGTAGTTTGAAACAGGCTAGGGCTTTGAAACAGGAAGTCGCACTGAGTTCGGTTGTCTAACCAGTCCTCCTTTTTCTCTCTTTCCTTCACCTCTCTGCTGCGTGGGCCGCCTCTGCCTGGAAATAAATAACAGCAACAGCAGTTGCAGGCTCAGCACCTCTCCCATGGCCATGGACCTCCAGTGCCTCTAACCCCACACCCGTCAGGACTCCAGCCACCGGGAATTCCTCCGCTTGGGAGCAGTGCGGGCCTTCTTGCTCTCTCAAGTGCTCTGGGTGGGCAGTCTCACTTGGCAATAAAAGATGACAAGAAGCACCACGATCCAGACCACCACAGAGGTGAGAGGCATGGAAAGCCTGATTAGGACCTTGTCAAATGAGTATTTGCACGTTGCTGCATCTCTAAAGAAATTGAGCTATGTAGAATGAGAGCCAAGAACAAACTGATTGCCAAACGTTAAAATGCTGGCCTGCATTTATACCACTGACGCAAAATTCAGCTTGCCGTTTTCAGTATTTGAGTCTGGAGATCACTAAGGGTCTCCTGCTTTTATGAAATGCAGGGAATTTTGAATCCTGACAGATGCTTAGTATAACCTCAGTGGCCTGCACAATATTGTGAAAAAATGGTAAAACAGAATAAGTGGGTGATTTCTTCCCTCCCTCCCTCCTTCCCTTCCTCCTTCTTTCTTTTTAATTACATAAAATAATATTTCATGGAAAAGAGGGGTGGGGGAAGTGTGGGTGGACAAAGTCAAACTTTGAGGTGAATGTGTTGAAATGAAAGGTTTCAAACATTGCATCTGTTTTTTAGGTTTGTTTAGGACACCTTTAAATATGGGGCAAAATTGCACTTGAATAACTTTTGAAGTAATTTATTCTGTCATGGAAAGAACTAGGCTTTGTGTATGGTTAAACTGTAAATCATGTTTACAAAATGTAATTTTCAGGAAATCACTGTATTAGGAATGTGCAATGACTTATAAAAATAAAAGCCATTTTAAAACTGTTCGCGGCTTGTGTTCTAATTTTTCCCCCCTTTTTTTATTTCTGTTCTTGCCTCTGTGTCTGAACGGGCATGTCTGTGCATTTCTTGGTTACTACGGGAACAGACAGAGATCCGGGCACAGTAAGTACCAATATTCCTGTTAAAGTTAACATGTTCAATTACTGCAGTAGCTGCTAGTCCAGATACTCACGTTTGCTTCCCTGTAGGCTTACTTGCTGCTTCTCTCCTAGTTTAGATAGTGGGCATGTGCCTCCTGTTTGAATACTGCGGTGTTTTGTTGGAGAAGTAAAATTAAAATAATATTTATATTGAGCAGTCTGTGTAGCTGCTGTGATAATATCCCTGCACGCTAATCTGGTTTCAGATAGTAACTGCTCCAGCTTTTATTAATTGCATTACATATGTGTGGACTTAGAAAGCAAGTGAGAGACACCCCCCCCCCCACGGCACATTAGCAATCATTGGGGATTTGAACTGTTCAAACTTTGCTCCATATACATATATGTCTTAAGATATTTCCCAGCTAACATGCCTCCCTTTTTATTCCATACATATTATTAATGGTAAAAACTGGGTGTGGGGATTTAAATCTTTTGTTTTCTATTGGTTGTAGTCTTATCTTTTTTGAAGAGTTTTACTGATTTAAGAATGCTCTTCTATAACCAGAATATAGATGGACAGACACCGATAGATAGATAGGTAGGTGGTTGGATGGACCGACGGACGGACGGATAGATTGCTGTGTATACTGGCATGTTGATCTTTTTTGATGTTGCCTGGTCACATTAGTTTATTCTTGAAACAATTCTTCATTTATGCTTCAGAATGAGTACCATGATTCGTTACACCACTTGATGCCAAATTTAGTCAACATGGTTATGGCAAACACACAATCTATACTATTATAATATTTAGATTGCTTTTAATGTGATGTCCTTTCTAACTCAATTTTGCAGGGCCTTCTCAGATGGTAAACTGGTTTTATTTTTCAGTTCATAATTTTCCAATTGACCCCATATTGTAGTGCAGGAATGTTAAAGGCCTATCAAGACTTCTAGTTCCAATTGCTGTATATATTAAACATATATTAAGGCTTCTTAGCCAATCATACTCAACTTTGTACCTTACATGAATAATTTTTTCTGTGTTTGATACGAATGTGGAACAACAGCAATCTCAGAAGTAGCTGTTGGAGTGAGAAGGAGTAAGTTCCTCCTCCAATTTGGGAAAGGGACAAAGAGGAATTTGATGAGAATGAGGTGACAGAAGTGTCTTTTTCTATGCCCTTGTTGGGCAGCAGCTGTTTGGGAGTCAGTGTACAAGGAGGATTGAGCTGGCATCTCTATTAAGAAGGCTTTAAGGCAGCAGCCATCTTGAGGAAGGCGCTATTCTATAAAAGGCATGGCTGACCGCTCATGAAGCTGGAATGAGCAGCTTTGGATAGAGTGGTCGCCTTGCTAGGGTAAGCAGTGCTTTTTTAACATATTATATTTTAGTCATATCAATGATAATTACTGTTATAAAAACAAATATATTGCTAGCAAACTCAAGTGTGTATTATCTTACAGGTTATTTATTTCTTCATGTTGTTGGCACTTCAAAACTTAGATGGCAAACAAAAAAGAACTGGCCTTATAGACTCTCAGGGTTGATTTCCTTTGTGGTTTCTGTTTTCTGTTTCCTAACCCACATACACCAAAGCCATGATATAAGCCATGAAACAGGCATGCTATGAGAGCTTCAGCTACCACCAGCTGAGTGGGGTCCCCCAAATCCTGAAATGAGACTATGCAGGGTGGAGGGGTCCTCAAAGACTAGAAAAAGGTGAGGAATATAAGCCACTGATACTGTAATTCTCCAGCAGTTTTGAAATCTAGATAGTTGGGATATCTGCAACAACTGAGAAAGAACCTTTACTTCCATTCTCCAGGAAATGTAATTCCTTTAAACCCTCCATATGCGGTTGAGGCCACTTATGTAACATTGCAGATAACATCTATACCTAATTTTTCCAATCTGCCTTCATGCCATAGTCTACCCTGGTCATCAGTGCTTGCTAGCCTTTGAGTAATATGGGATATCTGCAAGGCTGGCAGAAGTGCTGCCCCACAACTTCCCCAGGCAGTTCTCTAGATCCAGTTCTGTGGCGTGCAACCTGAATTTATGTATTTATTATTTATTTAGGAGACTTCTATGCCGCTCCATTTGCCAAAGCCTCGGGGTGGCTCACAACCATAAATAAACTTCAATAGAATAATATAAATTAACAGTATAAATTAAGTCGCCCTGGCCAAAGAATAAAATGAATAAATAATATTAACAATTAAAATAACATTTGAATAAAAAGGTATTCGCCTGGCGCCGAAACACAAATAACGATGGCGCCAGGCGGACCTCTCTGGGGAGTGCATTCCATAGATTCGCACTGGTGGAAGCCAGAGTGTGTGCATATGCGTAGTGATTTTTGCTGGTTTCACCTGTAACAATCTCAAGGTGGTTGAGAGACCCTCTGGAAGGCTGAAGGGAAAGGATGTATCAGTAAACATTGTCTCCTGTGTTTTCCATCAGTGGAATCATGTGTTAGATCCAAAACTTCTATTCACAGAAGCAACTGTTTGGTTTGCAAAAACACACTTAGGATGCATGCTCATGTTGAAAATTAAGTTAAATGTTGATACCAGTTGGAAGAAGGTAGGAGATAAATCCCTATTCTATACTCATTAGTGTACTGAACTGTCCTAGTTGTGAAGTGTCATCAGCCAAACATAAGAGCTTTATATTTCTTTTCTTGCTTCCTCCATCCACTAAAGAAAATATCTATAGTACATATTGATCAGCCGAGAAGGCACTTGGGTATTTAGTATAGTCTTTCCCCATCTTTTGTTTTTGTGTTGAATGGGGTTGAAACTGTGTGTAGAATTGTAATATTTTCTTGCACAGTTAGCAAGCACTAGTGGAAGAATTTGTATTGAGTTTTAATTGAGTTGGATTATGTAAAAGTTTCATGCTGCTGCAAAACTTTGTGCAAGCACAAAAATACCTGGTTTTAGTTTCTGCAATGCTGTAGTGAAACTTCTCTCTGTCTTGAAAATGCTGTCAACTTGTGAAAGGGCACATTTTGAATTCAACCCAATAAATCCAAATTAACAGTATACGTTTTATTCAGAAGTAAATCCCTTTGAATTCACTGCAGTATACTCCTAGGTTAATATGCCTCTTAGTTCTTGCAGGCATTTTTTAAAAAGTACATTAGAATACGCATGTAATGCTCAAAACTTCATTTACCATTAAAAATACCACCACATGAATGAAACAATAGAAACATCACCAAAAAAATAAAGACTCTTGGGTTAAGGAATGTAGGCTGAAAAATTTCTAAGAAACTAAATTTAAATGCTGTGAGGAACACAGTCTAAGCTTGTAATTTTATCAGACTTGTACATTAATGTTTCCATGTCACTTTGACACTGCATCTGCAAAAGACTAATATACATTTGCCCTTTACTACACGTCACTTTAAAAAAAAGAGAGAAAGCAACCTAGGGAAAAGCAATTTTAGGGGAAAATGTTTTCTAGACTAGTGCTGTGCACTTGGAATATAAATTTCTGCTCAGACCAATTACCTTAAGAGAAAATATGGCTTACCAAGCTAATGCTGAAGATGCTTCATTTTTTTTTACTTAATACATATTTTAGGTGCCTTCCCAAGGCAGCTTACAATGTTAAAACAGAACAGTTCAGTACCAAAAGCACCTTAATTATAAACAGTTAAAATAACCGATTTACAATAAAATAAAAATAGAAGATCTGACATACAAAAGCTTCAGTTAAGAACCAGAGAACAAATACATTTCTGCAACATCTCAAAATTGGGCACAGATGGAACCTTCTGTATACCTCGTGGGGGGAAATTCTGCAGAGCCGGGGCCTCGTCACTGAGATCACCATGTCTGGATTGCAGTTCCAGCACAGGGGAAGTGGCAGCCCTGTGGAAAGGAGGAGGACTGCTTTGAAGAGTGGTCCACCCACTCCCGCAGAAGCTGGCAAACGCTTGATGTGGGGGTATACCACTTTGCAGGAAACATATTCCCTGTGCGCTCTTCCCAGCACTTTTTGGCTTGTAGCTCCTTCATTTAGAATACATTGAAGCATGAATTGTGGCTCCGCCCAATTCACTGCTGGCACCTGAAAATTGCTTCAAGGTAGCGCGCTTCTCCCACAGCAGCCATTTTATTCTGTTGCTTCTATGCTGCTTTTTTCTCCTTTCCATCCTGCCTTTAAGTCTGTTCCCGAAAGGGGGGAAAGGGGAAAATGAAAGAATGCATAGGTTGTCCTGATTTACTTAAGAGTAAAATATTCCTGTGGACAGCAAAAATAATTCTGGGATCTGATGATCTGTTAACCAGATCATTGAGTAAATTTCCCTGCTGGCTAGGAATATTACCTTGGGTGGACATGATCTGGAAAGATAGCTTATAAATAATGAAATTAGTACATGAAATTCCTGGGCTAAATGTAGCTTTCATATGTATATGAAATTTAAAACTGTTTACTCACTCTGCTGATACTTGATGTTGAGACTTGTTGGCTTATATGTAGTTTCCCTGATGGTCTCAGATCCCATGTACGTTGGGCTCACGTACAATCTTATCAGGATAACACCTCTACTCCGAACAAAGCCAGTCCCAGCCAATTTCAGACTTCCTTCCTCTGATTGCTCTGCTGCCAGACCAGCTCTCACGGATTGGTTAGCTCTGGGACGGGAGGGTAGAGGGGGGAGTTTCCTTTTTAGTAAATATTTATGTTATGAAGGGGATTCAAAATTGGGTTGTCTTCTGTCAACCCTTCGATCCTTGTAAGAATAGAGAAGATGGTGTGCTTTCTAATTGCTGTCTCCATCACCTGTTTCACATACTTTTAAGCATAAAGTGCTAGCACTTCCTTCACTAGATCAGGCATCACTAACATCTGACTCTTTTGTGAAGGAAAGATGGTTTCTTGGTTTGGATTACTCCATGGAAGAAGTCCTGGAGACTCATAGTTTCCTCCTCCTATGTTAGGTTCAGTGCTGGACAAAGTTATCAAAGCAGTCCTGCATGCCATGGACCTCTCCAAATGAG